AGACACCAGAGGACAAACACTCCTTGGTCGTAGCCTGTCTCCTCCCCCTGGTCCCAGGGCCATAGGCCCTTGCCTTTCCCCTGGGCCCCCTAGGGCAGGGACCTGTAGCCTCCCACCCCGACCCCAGAAGGGCTTTCCAGGGTTTCTGAGGGGACCTGCTGCCAGGCTGTTTTGGAGGCCCCTGCACACCCTTGTTCCCAAGTCAACACCTTCTGCCCTGGGGGAGGTAGCCTTGTGTCAACAGGCAGAGAGGTGTGAAGACAGCCAGAGTGGCCAAGGGGAGGCTGGGCTGGCCCTCACCGCTCCCTGGTAATGAGAACACCACATGGCCCCTGCAGCCCCCACGTGGCCTGCCTCCCTCCGTCTCTCCCAGGTTCCCGCAGCCCGACTTCCCCAGGGCCTGGAAGGGACCCAAGGGGAACGGAAAGAAGACGTACGGGGAGGAGGCCAGGCCTTCACCTGCCTCCAGGTCCTTCAGCCTGCTCCCAGGGGCCCTGCACCGCCTGCCAAGAAGAAAGAGCAGGTGGAGAACTTTGGGGAGCAGGGCTGAGGGTGAACAAATGGTGGGGCTGTGCTAAGCCACCAAGAGCAGGCTTGACCAGAATCACTGCCTCCCCAGCCCAGCAGGGCCAGAGCTGAATGAGCACAGTCATGGTCCAGCCGGGGCCTCTGCCTTTCTCACCTGACGGGTGGTAAAGTAGGAAGCCTAGGAGGGGATGATGGGATGGAGGCCTCAGTTTCCTCACCTATATAATGGGAATATTAACATGGAATACTGACATGGACCCTGCCTACCTCAGAGCACCAAGCTTAGCTTAGCCAAAGGTCACAGTGGCCTTGTGGCTCCAGCCCCAAGAGCAGGCCCAGCTGAGCCAGAGCTCAGGCACAGAGAACAGGGGCGGGAGTGTTACAAGCACCGAGGTCTTCTGCATGGCCAGTCCATGTTGCTCTGCAGGGCCCCTTACGGCTCCCTTACCCTGAGACTTCCCAGACCCCAAAATAGCAGCTCCTGTCCCTTCCCTGCACCCTGGTGTCAGCTCTAAAGGAGAGGGTGAGCCTGGGGTCACTCACACACCAAGGCCCACGAAGCTGACTGCCTTCATAGCACACAGCCACAGATGTCCCTCCTTTTCACAGGTGAGTCAGATGAGGAAGAGAAGCAGAGATGCCCAACTGGAAGCCCCTGTGGAGCAGGCCAAAGAGAAACCAGCACTTGGGGCAGTTTCTGGCACAGAGGGAGGAATGCTTGAGGGTCCCAGTGCCAGAGGCAAGCGGGACAAGCAGCTGAGCCAGGACCCAGCCAACAAGGAGAAGCTGGTTTGGACGCTCTGTCCTAGGCTTGGCTGCGCTGGGCAGCTTTAGCCCCAGCCATCTGCGCTCACCCATTGCCTCTGTGACCTTTGCCACAGGCCAGCGGCTGAGGTGCCCTCTGAGGATGACTCCCACGCTAGAGCTACGGAGGGGAAGGGCTGGGGTGGGAGGTGGCAGGTAGAGCTGGATGTCCGAGGCCTGCTGCTAGCATCTCAGAGACGGAAGGAACCACCTCACCTCTTCCAGGGCCAAGACTGAAAATATCAGTCCCTTTACCCGCAACCCGACCTGGTCCTTTACCTATCGCCTTCTGCTGCCTCTGACCTTGCTATAAGCAACTTATAAACACAGGCTCTGTTGCTAAGCACTGTGACATGCATTAGCATATTTTACCCCAACAATTGCCCTCAAGATCAGAATCCCCACTTTATAGATAAGAAAACTGAGGTTGAGTAAGCTGCCCAAGTTTTCACAGCTGGTAAGGGGTGGTTCTGGGACTCTAAACCCAGGTCTACCTGGTTCCATAGCCCGACCTCCTAACCATTAAGCGATACTGCCTCTCTGTGCTAAGTCAAGGCCCAGGGGAGGGTCCAGCCTGACTTCCCTACTGGTGCACGGGGCTGGGGGCTGGCAGTGTGCCTGTGCTGCCAGAGCCTGGCTGAGGGGCCTGGCGAAGAGCCAGCGGCCGCGGCAAACCAGGCCTAGCCCTCCACCTTCCAGACTCGGGCTCTGAGATCCCACAGCCAGTCCGAGGCCTGGGTGCTGGGGCTACACCTGACCAAGACAGGAGGCCAGGCTACCCTAGAGAAGAAGGACAGTATGCAGGGCTCTGTGCGGGCTGTGGATTCCCATTAGTCCCCAAGTCCTTTCACAGGAAACCCCTTCAGGCTGGTTCTCATGGGTAAGGGATGGGGGTAGAGGAGGAATAATTCTGGATACTCAGAATCTTCCTGGAGCTCACAAGGCCGTTCCACCACTCTGAGTCTAGCTGCCTGTGCACAAGGCAGTAGTTTGACAAAAACATGAAACTACACTGAAGGTGCATCGGTGGGGGACTGCCCATGGTGCGAGCATGCTACGGAACGGCACACGGCCCTTACACGGGTGAGTCGGAAAGCTCAGGATCAATACCACATGAACCTGAAAGCAAAATCCACAGGAAGAAATACATGTGAAACCTGATGAGTTTTGTTTATAACTGTCAATTACATGTATATAAATTCCTTGGCAATGCAGTATGGCAACATTTTTATAGTATTGCTCTGCCTGTGATGAATACATGATTTATTATAAATTACCAACCTAAAAGGTGTAGGACTGACTACTCTCTAAGTCACCCCTGCCCTTAGGAAAAGGTGTTGTTAACCTTAGTTTAAACCCTTCGAAATCATGAGATGTTGCACAACTGCTTCTTTCCAAGGAAAGCCTGTTTGAAATCAGCACCATTGTTGAGTCTGCCTTCTTCTGCGCTGTGTGCACTTCTTTCCTCTCCTCGTTCTAGCAGAGAACAAGCTAAACAAGTTTCCCTGACCACATTCACTGTCAATTATTAACTTTGTCATCATGTGAGAGTGGTAACTTGAGCATATTTTCTCCAATCTTTCAAAGAGTAAATTCTGAGAAAGTGATGTCATTTCATCGAGTTTATCTGTACCTCCTGCCGTTTTATTTTTTTACAGTTAAAATTATCCACTATGATTTGAGGGGAAGAACATTTAAATCAACTATGACCAACTATAAATCAGCTAAATATGTCCTGACATGGAATGCTCTAAGATAAAGCTGTGGGATGAAAAAGCCAATTTCAGGTGGGATAAAAAAGCCAATTTCAGGCAACTTACCACTGCATGTTTTTTAAGGATACATGTTGCTGTATGTATCCTTGGCCCAGGTCTGGAAGGATGCCTGACCACCTAACAGTAGCTGTTACATTTAGGAAGGGGTTACAGGTTCTCCAGCTTTATCTGTAACATTTTCATTTCTTACAAAGAGAACAGGTTACTTATGTAATTTAATTTTTTAAGAGCCACAAAAATACTACGAGGTCATTTACTACTTCAGCCTGGTATGGGCTAATCTATTCTTGAAACATCATCATGTTAACCTTCAGTTATTGATTACTGATTTTTTATTTTTTAATGTCACGTCTGTTCAAAAGTCTGTTTGCTTCTCATCGCCTTGGGATTAAACCCGACCTCGTAGCCTGGCCCCAGCGGAGGTGTGCTGTGTCTCTCCACAGAACCACCTCCCACAGTGGCCCTGAGGCACCCCGGGAAGGCCCACTGCCAGGCCTTTGCGCATGCAGTTCCCACATCCAGAATGCCCTCTACCTGCCTCTCTCCCCATCCAAGTCCTGTCCAAGGTTCAAGGCCCAGCTGCGACCTCTCCACCTCTGTGGCCAGAGCTCTGCGGTCCCTGGCCATCACTCAGCCCTCAGCCTCCGAGTTTAGCCCTTTCGTAGAGATCAGAAAGGACACTGATGCCTCCTTTCAATTGTAATTATTGATGGAGTGAAAGCTTTTACTTTATAAACTTTACTATGTCAAACTGTCTACTATGAATCTATAACAACGGTTCCGTGAGTAGATACTGTAATTACTCCTTTTTAACAGAGCAGAAGAGGTCAGGCTCGAACAGGTTGAGGGCTCTTTATAAGGGTGCACACAGCTAGTTAGTGGGGGGCTACTAACTATATAACGGCCTGTTCAGTTGTCTCTCCCACAAGACTGAAATCTCATGAGAGCAGAGACCACAATTAGCTTGCTCACCCTGGTGTGCCTGACATTACCAGTTGCTAAATAAATATGAATTAAATGAGTAAAGCCCACAAGCATCTTGTACCTACTTTATAAAATGATAGCAGCAAACATTTAGCCCACTTGCCAGGTCCGTATTAAGTGGTTCCATGGGTGGTGCCACTCAGTACTGGCAACCATCCTAGGTGGTGGGTATTTTGTATTATTACCGCTATGAGGATGAGGAAACTTGAGCCTCAGAGTTGTTCAGTGACTTGTCCAAAGTCACACAGCAAATAAAGAGGGTCTGACTCAGGCCTGCTTGGGGAACCCCCTTCCCTCATCTTCATCAACCCCTGCACCCCCATTCCTCTTTGCCGGACTGCTCTGTTCTGTTTTCCAGGGACAGAAATTGCTGGCAGCGAGATGACTTTCTCAGTCACTCAGCACATCAGCAACTGCAGGTTCTGGAAACCCAGGAAGGGGCCCCAGGATGCGCACCCCATCACTGAGCGTGGGGCCCCCGGCGCTTGTTATGACACCACCCAGCACACCTGGAGGCCCTGAGGAGCAGGTCCCGGGCACCGCCCCGGGGCTGGTGATGAGGGAGGCGGCCGCTCTTCACAGGGGCCCCTGAGTCACTTGAGGCACAGCCTGGCCGCCCCCCGATGTGGGCAATGCCCATGGCTGTGGCGCTCCCGGGCACTCACCCTGCGCGGTGGGCGCGGCGGGCTGGGAGGGGGCGCAGGGAGCAGCTTAGCAGCTCCATCCAGATGCGAATTGTCCCTCCCACACTTCCCGGGCTGCAGGGGCCTCCATTAAAGCCCCTGAGGGGTCAGAATCCACACCTCCGCAAATGGGCCCGCTTTCCCAGGCCCCCCACCCAACCCTTCCCTGGGCTCTGTGGGTTTTGACACCTCTCTGTAACCTGGTCGGGGGTCCCTTCTCACCTCTGGTCCAGATAAAAGCCGGGCCTGGCGGTGGACGGCCCAGCCGCCCGGAGCAGGCCATGGCCCAGTCCCCTCCCCTGCAGGGCCTCCTCCGCCAGGACCACTGGACCTTCCCGCAGGGCTGGGGCTGGGCCGGCCACTCCGACTCCACGTCCCCAGCCTCCTCCTCAGATTCGTCCGGCTCGTGCCCCTGCGACGGTGCCCGCGACCCCTCGCGGCCCGAACCTTCGGCCCACAGCGCCCGCGCCGCCGAGGCCGCCCCGACGGCGCCCGGACGTGCGAGGCCCCGGCCGGCAGGCGGGCAGCGGCAGAGCGCCAGCGAGCGCGAGAAGCTGCGCATGCGCACGCTCGCCCGCGCCCTGCACGAGCTGCGCCGCTTCCTGCCGCCGTCCGTGGCGCCCGCCGGCCAGAGCCTGACCAAGATCGAGACGCTGCGCCTGGCCATCCGCTACATCGGCCACCTGTCGGCCGTGCTGGGCCTCAGCGAGGAGAGCCTGCAGCGCCGGCGTCGGCGACGCGGCGAGGCGGCGCTCCCCCGGGGCTGCCCGCTCTGCCCCGACGGCGGCCCCGCGCAGGCGCAGACGCAGGCGCGCTGCTCCGGCCCGGGCTCGGCGGCCAGCGGCGCGGCGTGCTGGGGGTCCCCGCCCGCCTGCCCCGGAGCCCTGCCGGCGCCCGAGCGCCTGGGGAACAGCGTGCCCGATGTGGGTTCCTGGGTGACACCCTCTTACTGCCCCGGGATGCAATCGCCCCGGCAAGTATCCCAAGGGAGAGCCCCGGACGCGGCCCTTTGGACACCGCCCCAAGCCTGTTTCGGAACGCAGACACCACCGGAGCCCGGGACCCAGGCCATGCCCTGGACGCCACCCCTGATGTCCCCGGAGCTGGCTGTGGTGTACCAGGTATGTGCCCTTGCTGCTGCTCGGGGTGATCCCCAGGCGTCAGCTGGGAGCGGAAAGAGTGTGTGGACATTAGTCTGCAGGAAAATATCATACTTTTTAGATGGAGGGTTGTCTAATCCAACCCAGGCTAGAGGTGAGAGGAGCTAGCTGAAGGTAAGATGGAGAAGTCCCTAGCCTTCTTGGGGAATGAGGTAGGGCTCTGGGGAGTTAAGGCCACCGCCGCCCCGGTATAGAAGTCTCCATAGCCATGTGAAGTGGGGGCTCCTTTGACTTGCTCCAGAGGCCAGAGTGGAGAGTAGCAGGGGCCACTGTCAGGCAGTATGTTACAAGTATTAAGGGTTGGCGGAAGCCAGGCTCTGCCAGCCCCAGGGGCAGGGGCTGTCTGAGTAGGTGGCCTTGCATTTGGTGACCTTCATGGTTTCTTCAAGGTCATGTTGACCTTCAAGCTTCATTCCTTCAAGAGGCCCATGAATGAATGTATCATGACTGATGAAAGAGCATATTAATACCACCATTTCTTGAGTGCTTACTGTGTGCCCAGTGCCATTCTTGGCACCTTACATGTATTGCCTCATCCAGCTCTCCAGCAATCCTGGGAAGTAGGTGTTATTATCATCACCCCATTTTACAGCTAAGAAAACTGAGATTAAAAGAGGTTGGGTCCTCATAGCTAGTGAGTAGCATAGGTGGGATTTGAACCCTGGCAGTGTAACTCCAGAGCGAAGTCATCTTAACCACTTTGCTTCACTGCAGCCATGGCACCGGGGCTTTTGGGAAGCTGCCAGCCACACTCCAGGAGCGTCCAGATCGGAGATCTCAGGGCATCAGAAGCAGCCCACTATCCAGCTGCTCTTGTCTTTCTTGCAGGGTATCTCTGTGTCTCCAGAGTCCGGTCTGTTGCCAGAAGCCCCACCCCTCCTGCCCCTCCCAGCATGCCAGAGACTCCAGCCTCAGACCCAGTGGGGATGCTGGAGCCACAGTGCAGAGGTGCCCCCCAGCTCAGAGGACCAGGGACCTGGCCCCACCTTCCAGCTCAGTGATGAAAGCCCTCCCCAGAGCTCAGGCCTACGGCTCAGTGACTGCCCTGAACTTTGGCAAGAAGATTTGGGGGGAACCCAGCTGGGCATCTTCTACTAAGGGTCTTGCCTGGCCCCTTTTCAGCCAGGAATTAGGCCTATAGTGTGAGGCACCCTCCTCATTTGCTACTTCAGTCATTTTTAAGCTTGCCTTTAGCCAAGGATCGGGTGGGGCAGTGCCCCCCACCCTTGGACACCCCCTGAATGACCGATGCTCTGCAGAGCACAGCCAGAGCTGCAGTGAGATGACGGCTGCCTGACCGTGAAGTTGGCCAAGCTAGGACTGGTGGGGGAGAGTCCTGGGCTCGGGGTGGGGGCAGAAGCTTATTTGCTCAGGTTTTATACTTCTTATTAAAAAAAAGAAAAAGGAAAATTGGTTTGGTCTGTTTTTCTTTTATCAGCCAGGGTTTTTATTGCCTCTAGAAAAGGAAAAATATCCCTATCCTGCAGGGAACAAGTCATGCTACTCCTCCCCTCCCTGCTCTAGGCCTGCAAAGGCTGGTGTGGGCCACTGTGACGATATTTATCGCACAGGGGTTCCATCTAGCCTCCTGTGCAAGGTGACACAGGTGGGTTAACACTTGGGCCCGATCACTTGCCTCAGACCCGTCTCCGCCGCCGTTTTCCTCCCCTCTGTGAGTGCATTCCTGCCAACCCATAGGGCTCTTCCACCATTCCACCCACATGCTAGGTCTAGTGTATTCATTTGCTAGGGTTGCCATAAGAAATATAAATTGGGTGTGTTACAGAACAGAAACGTATTCTCTCGCAGATCTGAAGACTAGAAGCCCTGGATCATGGTGTTAGCAGGTTTGGATTCTCCTGAGGCCTCTCTCCTTGGCTTGCAGATGGCCACCTCTCTCTGTGTCCTCAAATAGTCACTCCGCTGTCTGTGTTTCTATGTTTTAACCTCCTCTTCTTCTAAGGGCACCGAAGTGGATTAAGTTCTCCTCATATGACCTCATTTTACCTGAAGAACCTCTTTACAGGCTCTGTCTCTGAAGACATGCACATTCTGAGGTCCTGGAAGTTAGAGCTTCACTATGAAGTTGGGGGAATGCAATTCAGTCCATAACGTCCACTCTTAGATGCCAGAGAGAAAACATTCCCCAGCAAATGGTGTGAATTACAGGGAAATGATCAGAGCCCAGGTTAAGGATGGGAGTTTAGAGAGAAGATGTGACAGCCGGTAGGAGATGGGGTTGGCAACAGTTAATGCTTGAGTTACCTGATCTCTTAGTCCTGCTGTGTTGATACATGCTGCCCTGAGTGAGAGTAAGGGGCACCTCCAGGGTCTCAGGGAAGGATGCCATGATCCATTAGCAAAGCCTGCCATGGGCTTGAGAGCCAGCAAGGGGTGGTGACTTCATTCTATATCTGCTGAATCAGGTAAGGAAGAGTTGTAGGGTGTTGGACTGGATAACAAATGATGTGCAGGAGTTTGCTAAGAGGTGTGAGTGAAGAGTGACCCAGGCAGGAGAAACAGCACCAGTCAAATGGAAACAGAAGTGGCTGAAGTTCAGAGTTGATGGGGAGAAGTGATGAATGGAGTTGGAAAAGGTACGTGGAGGCAAGGAGCCCCATGTGGTGTGGGGAGACACTGGGCCTGTTTCCTGGGTGATGGGAGGCATTGAAGGTTGGAAGGGGCATAAGCTGGTCAGAGCTGCTCTTGGGCCCTTCGACTGCTTCACAGAAGCAGAACCACGCAGGGAGGCCAAGGTAACAGTACAGAGAGAGAGGGGGCAGGTGAGGGGAGCAGGACCAGAGAGCACCAGCTGCCTGCGCTCTTGGCCCACGTGGGGCCTCCCATCCACCCCTGCGTGGCACCCACTGCCTGCTCACAAGGCCTGTGACATCAGGCAAGTTACTCCCTCTCTGAGCCATACTGGCTCATCTCTTAAAAGAGGAACTGGCTTGGGTGGCCACTGAAGTGCTTTTCCCCAGCCTTCTAGAAGTGGGTTCTGGTTCCTATCGCAGAGCCATCTTGTCTCTAGGGCTGCCAGCCACAGCTGGAAGGATGGGAAAACCCCACACAAGGGTACACACAGCAAGGAGATGATACAGGATACAGTGACCCGCGTGCACATTCCCTACAGCTCTTACATGCTGTGTAATCTTGGGCAAGCTACAAAACTTCTCTGAGCCTCAGTTTCCTCAGCTGTGGAGACAGTAATGAACCCTACCCCTCAGGGTTCTCAGGCTGAACACAGTAATTGCCCAATACACAGTAGCTGAACAGAGTCACACGACCCTAGAGACCACCCAGTGCAGTGGTTCTCTAACTAGGCTGTGTGTTGAGCCATCTGGTTCCAGGGTCCCACCTGGAATGAGTCAGTGCACTGGGCCAGGGCCTGGGAGCCTGTGGCTTTAACGAGACCCTCCCCAGGGATTCTGAGGCCCAGCCAGGTTTGAGAGCAACGCATAATCTTCACCCCTTCATTTTACAGCAAGGAAACAGGTCCAGGGAGGGGAAGGACTTCCCTAGCTCCCTGCTAGGTATGGATGTCAGGCCCCCGCCTCCCTGTCTGGTGCCCTCTCCTTCTGAGAAGACCCAAGTCCTCGCCCCTCAGTCTCACCCTACGTGCCGCCAAGGCAGAACTGAACAATGGCCTGTCTTCTTCCTCTGGCCCCACTGATCTGGGATTGGACCTACAGGGACAGAGAGAGGTACTCCCTGGTCCAGCCACTGGTTCCCCTGTCCTCTGGCCCAGCTCCAAAGCCCTGCAGGGGCTGGACTGGAACCTCAGAGAGTGCTGGCTTTCACCAGCAGCAACCAAGGCTGAGCATCTGGAACCCGGCAGGCTTGTTCTCTCGGCTCCTCTGAAGAAAGCTCTTCCAGCAAGTGCAAAGACAGAGGTGAGAGGCTGCCAGCTGCAGTTGCCTGGATGCCAGTGGAGTGAGACAAGCATCCAAGACAAGGCCTGGGGGGCTTGGGGGATCCCCCATCCCTGCCCTTACCCTCTGGGAAGGAAGGCTCAGCCCTGCCTCTCCGGCGCAGCAGCCCCTCCTCCATCAGTGGCTTCATCCCTGGCATGCTGCGCTTGGCTACACCTCTGCTCTGCACCTGGCGGGGGAAGGAGAGGGGCTGATGCTGGGGCCCTGCCTGGGGTGACTGGTCTACCCACACCTTCCTGGGGACCCCAGTCACCATCCTAAGAGATTGGACGTTTGCTGAGTACCTCACCCAGGCTCTCAATGCCTCTTCAGTTACAGAACGTGCCTCCTGAGGAGCCTGCTGGGGCGGGAGAGGTGGGAGAGGGCACTGCGGGCAGGCTGCTTCCTGCGGGTCGTCAGGGTCTGCCTTCCCCACCTCGGCCTTGAGCCATCAGCCCACCCCAGGCAGAGCAGGAGTGGGCGGCCTGAGTTCAGGCTGGCTTCTGCCCCACCTGCCACCTGGAGCAGGTCTGGCTCTGCCTGTCCTGTGTCTTCCCTGCGCCTCCAGGGCCTTGACTCCCTCCAGCCACACCGGGTGTTACGAATGAACGGCAGCACTGTAAGGTGCCAGGGGACGACGAGCATGTAAGATGTGGACGTCACAGACCCTGCCCCAAACGGAGGACCGGCTTCCACTCAGAGCTGGGGTCTTGGTTCTAACTCTGCTTAGATGGGACTTTACCTCCCTACCCCTCCGTTTCCTTATCTGCAAAACTGAGATAAAGACAGTCATGTGCTGGGACAGTTGAGAATCGAATGAGATAATGCGCATAAACGCTTAGCCCAGTGCCAGGCACAGAGACGAGGACCCCTGTGGACTCTTCCCCCTGGAGGCCGGCTCTCCCCCGGGGACCCTCGATGACGCTGGCGGTGGTGGGGCTGGCCCACCCCCAGTGGAGACCATCTGAGGGGCCTGCCCTCTGGTGCCCAGAAGGTCAAGTGCCAGCCGTGGCTGCGGGGCACTGGCGACAGGAAGGGCTGGCCCAGAGGGCTGGCTGAGGGAGCCTCCAGGCTGGTGGAGGGACCCCACCCAACTGGGCTGGCCCAGCCCCTTGGCCTGCCTCACCTTTTGATGTGCGGATGGCGGGGAAGCCGGAGCTTTGCCTGCCCTGGGCTGCCTGCCTCTCACTGCGGGGCGGAGGCTGTGAGGGAAGAGGCTGGGGACCTGAGGCAGGAGACCCCGTAAGGATGACGGGAATACAGCTCCCCCAGGGGTGGGGCCATTTCCGCTATGTACCTGTTTCCTAAGATCCACACACCACCCCTGCCTTTACTGCGCAGGGACAGCCCCAAAGCCCAGGGATTTAGTCACTTGCTAGGAAACAGCGGCAGAGCTGTGATCTGAAACCAGACCCCGGACTCAGACTCCAGCCTGAGCAGCTCTCTGGGGTGTCAGTTGGAGGTGACCCAGGAGGAGCCCTGGACCTCCCCATTTCCCTCCCTCTGGCCTCGGATGCTCAGCTGGGCCTCCTGGGGCTGAGGCTGAGGCGGGCCTCTTACAGCCTGGCTCCATTTGCCAAGAAACTCCCACCAAGGCCAGTGCGGGCCCCAGGCCTTCTCAGGCTTGGCCCTGACCGTCAGCTGCCCCAGGTGATCCGGAGGCCTCCTGCCTTTTTCTGTCTGTGCTACTCTTGCAAACAACCAGTTTACAAATTGACATCCTACCCATTGATGGTGAATTCTGGAGTGGGGGGGGGCATGCCCTTGGGCAGTGAGTGGTTGCACCAGGCCTGGGACCCAGGGCTTGCTGGCCTCAGTAAGACCCTTTCTCTCCCTGTCGTCGCAGGCGCTGCAGTGCAGGAACACGGGTCCGGCCCGCACTCTGCTCCCTGGCACCACGTGAGGTGGGTGCAAACCCCGGCTTCTGTAGACACAGAAACTCTTGCTTGCTGGAAAAGCACTCCCTCCGTTGTCAGGACCTGTGCCCGGCAACTCTGTGCCTGGCACTCAGCCCCAGCTCTCCCCACCTCACCATGGCAACCACTGGGTCCTCCTGCCTGCCCTCCACCTCCCCGTGGTTCCCCAGCACCCAGCCTCGGAAGCCTGCTGCCAGGGATCCGGATGGAATGAGCACTGTCGGCAGACGCCACAACACAGGTGTTGTATAGGAAGGACCAGCCACCCAGGCACTTCTCCCCTCCCAGGTGCCCTGGGAGTCCAGACCACAGCACTTCCTATACACCCAGGTTCCCTCCATCCCCATCTCCTAGCTGTGCAGACTCACTCCCGCTCTAGTTAGTAATGACTCTGGAAACTCATCTAGAAATCCTGTATTTACATTTTCTCTTAGAAAAAAATATACAGATCTGGTACCCTGTTGATTTCTCAGGTTCAGGGTCTTTACAGGAGGGCGAGAGAGGGCACAGGGCAGCCCCCCAAGGCCATCCATCACACATCAAGGGCTTCTGTTCATCTGGCCCTGCAGCTGGGCTTCCCTGAGAACAGCCCCAGGGCGCTGGGTGACAGGTGCCATGCCAGGCCTGGGATGGGGTTGGTATGAGGAACAGGCGCTGGAGGTACTTGGACAGTCTGGCCATCTGGAACTGGCTTGGCCACATAGGCAGAGTGGAAAGAATGTGGGCCAGAGACGGTGTCCCTGAGGGGAGGATGCTGGTGTCTCAGACTCTGGGAATGGGGACCCTGCCGTGGGCCCTGGGGACAGAGGCACATGGGCATCTCACATGGGGGCAGGTGACTGTAAAGGCCAGGGACTATTTGCTGTTTTCTGTGAACCATGCGAACACCACATCCTTGTTTCGCTTCACCCACTTGATGTTGGCTTTGGTCTTCTCCAGGGCTTGCTCCAGAGCCCGGGTGCCCGAGCCAAAGCCGGTGTCCATGTTGGTCTTCTTGAACTGCTCCAGCTGCCAGGAAAAAGAGGATTCTTAGCTCCAGGCTGGGTCTCTAACACAGCCTTGAGGAGAGGGCTTCCTGGTCCTGTGTTTCCCCCTCCACCCTCCGGGACCTCAGTCTATTCTCCAGGATGGGAAGGTCCAGTCCTTTCTTCCCCTTATCTAGGACAGGGGGCAAAAATGACAGCCAGGGTTAAATCTGGCTCTCAGATGTATTTGGCCTTCATTGTGTGAGTCTTTACTTAGTTAACCCTCAATTTTTAAATGAATTACAATCTCAATCCAATCAAGAGAGGAGAGAGAGACAAATTAAACAAGCAAGCAACCAGTCAAACTCAAAATATGGCCATTTCTATACTACAAATGACCCAGTTGCTTCAACAAATAAATGGTACTTTTTAAAAAAGAGATGTTACAGAGTAAAAGATGTGACAGCACTGGAGATTGCAACCAGATTAATTAGGAAAAGCCTGATTTTGTATGCAGAAAATCCTAAAGAATTCTCTAAAAATAAAATAGAATAACAACCCCAGGCTAATTAAAACTATTGAATTCAGCAAGGTTGCAGGATACAAGCACAAACAAAAATCAGTTACGTATCTATACACTAACAATGACAAAATCTGAAAAACAGTTCCATTTACAATAACAACAGAAAGAATAACATACTTTGGAATATATTTGACAAAAGAAGTGTCAGACTGGTATGCTAAAACTCACAAAACATTGTTGAAAGAAATTAAGAAGACCTAAATAAAAGGAAAAAGATCTAAATAAATCTGCATTAATGGATTGGAAGATTTAACATTATTAATATGGCAATACTGCCAAAATGATAGACAGATTCAAGGCAATTCCTATCAAAATTATAGCTGCCTTTTTTTGCAGACATTTTTGCAGAAATAGTAAGCTGATCCTAAAATTCATAAAGAAATGCAAGTGACCCCAAAATAGCCAAACACTCTTGAAAAAGAACACAAGTGGAGGGCTCACGGTCCCAATTCCAAAACTCACTACAGAACGACAGTAATCAAGACAGTGTGGCACTGCGTAAGGACAGATAGATAAACATCAGTGAAATAGAATTGAGAGTCCAGAAATAAACCCTCACAACTGATTTTCAGCAAGGGTGCCAAGACCCATCAGTGGTAAGAATAGTTTTTTCCCACAAACGGTGCTGGGACAAATGGAGAGCCACACAAAAAGGAACTGCCCCGACCTTATACTACCTGCATGATGAACAGTTAGAATTGTTCAAAGTCCTTACTGATCAAAGTCCTAATTGATTATGGCCCTAAAATGATAAGACTCTTCATAAAAAGCATAGGTAAAGACACCATCAGCAGAATAAAAAGGCATCCTACAGTATGGGAGAATGTATTTGTAAATGGCATATCCAACAAGGGGTTAACATCCAAAATATAGAAAGAACTCACAGGCCTCAACAGCCAAAAAGCAAGTAACTCTATTAAAAAAATGGGTGGAGGATATGAACAGACACTTCTCCAGAGAAGAAATTCATATGGTCAACAGGCACATGAAAAGATGCTCCACATCGAGAATCATCAGGGAAATGCAAATTAAAACCACAAGGAGGTATCACCTCATACCAGTTAGTATGGCCAACACAGAAAAGACTAGGAACAACAAAAGCTGGCGAGGTTGCAGAGAAAGGGGAACCCTCCTACATTGCTGGTGGGATTGTAAGCTAGTTCAGCCATTGTGGAAAGTAGTATGGAGGTTCCTCAAAAAACTACAAACAGAAATACCATTTGACCCAGGAAGTCCACTCCTAGGAATTCACCCTAAGAAGTCAGGAACCCAAGAAATGGAAGCAACCTAAGTGTCCATCAGTAGATGAATGGATAAAGATGTGGTACATATACACAATGGAATATTATTCAGCCATAAGAAGAAAACAAATCCTACCATTTGCAACAACATGGATGGATGCTAGAGGGTATTATGCTCAGTGAAATAAGCCAGGCAGAGAAAGACAAGTATCAAATGATTTCACTCATCTGTGGAGTATAAGAACAAAGGAAAACTGAAGAAACAAAACAGCAGCAGAATCACAGAACCCAAGAATGGACTAACAGTTACCAAAGGGAAAGGGACTGGGGAGGGTGGGTGAGAAGGGAGGGAGAAGGGGAATAAGGGGCATTATAATTAGCACACGTAACTTGGGGGGGCACGGGGAAGGCAGTGTAGCACAGAGAAGACACGTAGTGACTCTATAGCATCTTACTATGCTGATGGACAGTGACTGTAATGGGGGATATGGTGGGTACTTGATAATGGGGGGATTCTAGTAACCACAATGTTGCTCATGTGATTGTATATTAATGATACCAAAAAAAAAGCATAGGTATAAATCTCAGTGACCTTGGATTAGGTAATTTTTTCTTAGATACGATACCTAAGCACAAGCAACAAAAAAATAAGTAAAAAGTTGGACTTCATCAAAATAAAAAGTTTTTGTGCATCAAAAGACACTATCAAGAGAGTGAAAAGACAATCTATGGAATGAGAGAAATTATCTGTAAATCATGTACCTATTAAGGGCCTGGTATCCAGAATACATAAAGACCTCTTACTAGTCAACAATAAAAAATGGGCCAAGGATTTGAATAAACATTTCTTGAAAGGAGAAATACAAATGGCCAAAAAGCACATGAAAACATGCTCAACACCATCAGTCATCAGGGAGATGAAATTCATGACCACAGTGAGCTGCCACTTCACACCCACTAGGATGGCTACAACTTTTTTAAAAAAGGAAAGTAACAAGAGTCCAGAAAGACATAAAGAATTCAGACCCCTCATACTTTGCTGGTGGCAATGTAAGTTGGTACAGTTACTTTGGAAAACATTTGGATAGTTTCTTTTAAAGTTAAACCCAGAGTTATCAAATGACCCAGTAATTCCACTCCTATGTGTATATCCAAGAGAAATAAAAATTTGTCCATGAGTGTTTACAGCAGCATTATTTATAATAGTCAAAAAGTAGAAACAACCCAAATGTCAATGAACTGATCAACGGATAATCAGAAGGTGGTATATCCATACAATGGACTATTACTCAGCCATAAAAAGAATGATACATGTTAAAACATGGATGAACTTTGAAAATATCATACTAAGTGAAAGAAGCCAGACACAAAGGCCACATGTTGTATGACTGCATTTTATGAAATATCCAGAATTGTCATATCCATAGAGACAGAAAGTAGATCAGTGGTTGCTAGAGACTAGGGACCGAGAAATGCGGAGTGACAGCTAATGGGGATCAAATTTCTTTCTGGGGTAATGGAAATGTTCTAGAATTAGGTGGTGATTCTCCAAATCAACATTTGGAGAAATATTTTTTTTAAACCCTATAAATACATGAAAACCCATTTAAGAGGGTAAATTTCATGATACATGAATTAACTAAAAGAAGAATCCACCTAGTGCGATGAGTTAACTTTGGCTTCTGATTCAAATATACACATCGATTGCAAACAGAATTTTTAAAAAAGTAACTCAGAGAATTTGACAATGGCCTGGGTATAAAATGAGAGTAAAGGATTATCAATTTGCTTGGATTTGCTAATGACAGTGAGATTTTGTCTAAAAATTGTCTTAATTTTAGATATGACTAACGTATTTACAGGTGAAATTATATAGTGTCAGTGATTTTCTTGAGGGCTATCCACCCCCAAAAAGTGTTGGCAAAATGTTCAATCTTGGTAATGGGTACATGGTGGTTCCTTACATTATTCTCTTTACTTTTTGTCTATACAAAAATTCCAGGATGAATTTTTTTGACTGGACTGTCACCATTTAAAAAGTTTGGATGTCCAGCTTACCCTATACATGAGGAAGGCCTGGTAACGTGGAGCCCATGCTCCCTTGAGACCACCCTCAGTGGTCAGCGGTCGCTGCACAGCAGCCCCCACCGCAGGCTGGGGATGGGCCTTCAAGTGCTCCCCGGGGTCCCTGGCCTCTTACCTGCTGCAGCTCGTACTCGGTGGAGAAACGTTGGGTCACTGCCTGGATGAGGTTGGAGAAGGAGAAGGAGCCACCTCCGTAACTGCGGGGCAGGGAGACATTGGAACCGTGAGCAGGGCTGAGTGGCTAGCGCTCAGTGGCTGGCAGATGACACTATACCCTCACAGCTGTGCTGTGATTGTCCCCAACTTGTAGATGAGATTAAATGACATGCCCAAGTGACACCGCTAGAGACTTGAGCACAGGTTGGACTGCAGTGTCCCTACTCTCGTCTCCCTGCAGAAGGCGCCCACCAGCCAGACTTTCTTTCCCCCAAGTGCGAAAAGGGATGGTCCACACTCTGCCCTGTTTCTCAATTCCTGCCCCAACCTGACCTCAAGCTGGGCCCGTGTCTGACCACTGCTCTGCAGCGTCCACCACCCCTCCTCCCAACCTGCAGTACCCCGTGCACACAGACCACCCCAGGGCACCCCAGCCTTGGCACGCATTCCCCGACATGGCTCTCAGCAGACTCACTCCTGAAAGAGCTTCTTCCAGTTGCTCTGGACAAAGTCCCAGACCAGACTTTGCCCAATGACATTGCTGGCGATGCTGCTAATGGTGGAGGTGGCATCCTGCTTCCGGATGAGGTCGGGGTTCAGGGTGTAACTCAGGTACCTGTGAGGGCAGGATGTGACCTTAGCGACCACTTCTAAGGGCTGCAGTCAGATGACAAGGGAGAAAAGCTGGGATGGCAAAGGACCCTGCCCCTCCCCTGTCTCTCAGGCATCCTCCCGACATCCCTTCATCATGCCAACGGTTGAAGACCAGTTGGTCCCACCTCCCTGTTGTAGATGGGACACTCCCCTAAGCAGGGTCACGGGCTATACTAGATGTCATGCCTCACATGGACCTGGTGCCTGATAAACATCTGACAATGAATGAAGGGCTCAGTGTCAGAGCTGTGAGCCCTGCACCAGGTAGGGAGGGCCACTCCTGCTTTGACACTGATAGTGGCTTTTCTTTACTGGGGTCCAGGAGATGGCATATAAAGCTCCTAGTGGGACCCACAGGCTTGAGGGAGGCCCAGCTGCACATCCAGAAAGGCCCAGGTCCAGCTGCCCCAGAGCCTCTGCAACAGAGGGAACCTGAGTTGCCGTCAAGCTAAAAGCATGGGACGTAGACCCAGACCTGGGTCCAAAATGCCTCTAACCTTTAGTAAACCTCTGGAACTTGGGGAGGCTGCTTTGCCTCTCTGAGCCAGTGTCTTCATCTGTGAAATGGGGGCCATGTTGCCCCACTGTGCACACCTGTGAGGATCCCACGAATGGGAGCGCGGAAGCCTGGCTGCTTCCTTTTCCCTTACAGTGGGATCCTGGTTCCCAGTAGGGAGGAGACCTCACCCAGCCCCAACTGGCCAGTCCTCACCTGTTCAGGATCCAGAGCTGGTTGGTGCAGGCCAGGGCTGAGCGGAGTTTGTCGGCCTCATTTACCAGTGTGGCATTTCGGAACTGCTTCCAGGCGAAGTCCCATTCCTTCTCGCCGCCCTGGGCGATGGCGTTGCAGTAGATGGTGGAGCGCAGGTTGGGGTTGATCCTGGCATGGGGTGGGGGTGTTAGGAGTGGAGCGGCAGCGGGGCGGGTGGGTTGAGGGTCTGAGAAGGACAGGACTGTGCGCTTAAAAGACAGGAGAAGTTTGGAGGAAGAGCAGGGTGCACACTCACGGGTTATTACTGGGGTCCTTCATCCACTGGGCGAAAAGGGCTGAGACCAGCTCCTTACACTCGGGAACTCCATTGGAGCAGGCGGTGCTGATGGCGTTGATCTCATTGTACCTACCCCAGGGTGGCACTCAGTCAGCAAGCCTGGCCCAGGCCCCACCAGGTTCCCTTGCGGACACACACGCTAGGAGGGTGGCGGGCAAGGGCTCTGTCTAAGGCTGTAGATCCAGCTGTTTGCTCTCTGCCTCGGGCAGCCCGGAAACCCAGAGCCACGGACACGTCTCCAGCTCCACCTTCCACACCTAGACTCTGAATGACCAGGCTGGGGAGGGGACTTCAGAGTTTCACATTGGTCCCCTGGACAAAGAAGCTGCAGAGAGCCTCAGGGCAGGGCCTTACACTCCTGGGCAAGGGTCTCTCTCTGCCTGGTTGCTCTGGTCCAGCCAGGAGCTGGGAGCTCCAGAGGGTGACACCATCGGTTGTTGCTCTGATGCCCCAGTCTGGGTGGCTAGGCCACCTGTGACCCCCAGGCCCAGGAGAGGTCATACTCACTGGTCCATCAGGTTTTCTGGGTGCTGAGTCCAGTTTTTGGTGATATTTTGGAAATGAAAGAAGAGGGGTGTGACCTGCTTCTTCAGGTACTCCTGGGAGAAAAAAAACCCCAAAACATAAATATCTTCAAGGGGAGACTCATGCCTGACCTGCCTGGGGCCAATGGGGGGGTAGACAGAGGGAAAAATGCTGGCGGCCCAGGGCCTTGCCCAAGGCAGACAGCACCCCGAGGGGCCAGCAGGGCCAGATGTCAGGTCTGAGGTTCTTCCTCCTCAAAGTCTCAGGCACTTCTAGCACTATGTCAAAGCGTCCCCTTTTCCTAATAGAGAGTTGGGGCGCACCACTCCTCCACCACCTGTCATAAATACTCCAAGATTATCCCAGGGAATTTAGAAAACACAGAAAAGCATATCTTGAAGAAAAAACAATCAGGAGCTCACCAAAACCACAATTTCCAAATGGGTGAGCTTACCCCCTCTTCCTTTCTAGCCCGCACATGTGCAGTTCTGCATGCTGCTCTGTTCTACCTGACCCTGCAATGTGAGCCCCGTCCCGTTATTAACCAGAGTCGGGTTCAACATGGTAGGCTGTCATGCATGCCCGCTGGAATCCCCATCCCAGTGTAAAAGGAATAAATCTCCAAGGACAAAGAGAATCGGAAAGGAAACCACGGTGGATGAGGCATCCCCACAGTTCAGGAGCGGGGAGGCGGAGAGGCGGAGGTGTAACTGGCTCGGCAGGGTGGGACAGCCTCCAGCAGAGCCCCTGCCAGGGCGACAATGGGGACGGAAGCAAGGAGACGTGCTGTGATAAGGCTCAGAATCAGAGGGACGGGTCTGAAGGGCACAGGTGGGAGGCAGGGGCTGTAACAGGGCAATGGAGTCAGTCCGCAGGAGGAGTAATTAACCCCCAAGCCACCACTTCCCTCCTTGGGAAGGCAACACCCCTTCCTCCCCCATGGGTGAGGTTGCATCAGAGGAGCTCAGAACTGGGGTCACCAGACACAGTGGGAGGATCGGTGGGCGTGGAGAGGGCTAGAGGTGAAAGGTCACCTACTGAATGGAGGGACCGCCAGTTTCCTTGCTCACTCTGACCCCAGAAAGCATGCATCATCAGCCACACTGCACAGGACAGAGGGTCACTCTCTGGAGACCTGAATGGTCTCAAGGGGACACCAGCAAGGTCCCTAGTTTTTGAAGGTCCCCATGAGAAGTTTGTTGGCCACTCAGTCACCCACAAGAAACCTGCAGGCAACGACCACCACTCCCCACGGAGCCTCCCACCGCTTTGTACGGCCTCACTCTCAAACCTGACAGGGCAGCTCAGCCTCCAGCTTGAAAGAGGAGAGACCAAAACAAACAGAAAACTCAGAGGAAGCAAGTCAATGGGAGAAAAAGAAAACTTTGTCAAAGCCTATGATAAATATCCTCCAAGAGTTCAGAGAAAAGCTTGCACAGGATGCTGGAGCCAGGCGCAGCACTTGGAAATTTAAAAATATGGTAGAAGAAATAAAAACAGTCTGTAGAGGAGAGGTGGTACGCTAGGCTGAGAGCAAGTCCCGGGGGCAGAACAAAAAGGCAACAAGCTGGAAACCAGAAGAGAAAAGGAAGCCAGAGAAGCAATGGAGGCAGTGAGTTAACAGGGGTCCTAGGAAGGAAGATTTGGAAGAGAAAGGAGGGGAAGACAGTCCAAAGGAGAAGCTCCACGTCCGGACGGAGAGCATAAAAGAATGAAAAAGGCCCACCAGGACTGAGAGAAGAATCCACAAGCTTCCAGAAGCAGGCAACTGGCCACATTCAAATGACTGGACATGAGAAAGGCCCTGAGCTTCTCCACGGCAACATGAAAGGCTTGATGTCAGTGGAGCAAGAGCTCAAGTTTTCTAAGGAATACCTGCCAGCCTAGAAACCTCAGAACCCAGGTAAGCTCGCCATCCAGTGTGAAGGTGGAATAAAGACATTTCGGACAATCTGTCTCCAAAAAGTCCACCTTTCATCAATCCTTTCTCAAAAGCTTCTGGAGGAGGTGCTCAGCTATGGGAGAGGAAGCTCGGGGAAGAATCCATGTGTTCAAGACACAGGAGAGCCTCCCAGGATAGGGGCGAAGCAGCAGCTCCAGAAGGAAGCAGGCCAGGAGAGGCCTCTGGGAGGATAGTCCTCCAGGAAAGAGCACATCTGATACATCTGTCTAAGATGGATAAAAAAGGAAACATAAACATAGTATTTGATGTGGTTCAGTAGGGAATGATACTTAACTAATTACAATAACATAAACGCTGAATACTGAATTGACCAAATATTGTGATTTAACTACATTAGGATGGTGGGGCTAACCCAAGTTAGGTGGGTTAATGAGTTAAAATGAGTTAAAAACTCATTTACCCTAATACCTCAGTTACCAGAGTAGGAAGTCAATAATGTGAAAAAATTTTAAGTTAAAAAAATGATCTCTTAAAGTATGATCAAATGACTACATACTATCCCACCAAATGCATATTCTAGTTTACTTAATCAATTCCCAACTAAGTGTTTTGGGGGTTTTCATCTTTTATAAAGCACACCACATTGCACATCCTTACGGGTCCAGCTTCATCCAGAGCAGCTGAGGGTCCCAGGACTCTGGGGGGAGCCCTGCGCTGCCATGCTTCAGCAGTGGGCACCTGCACCTCCCTCCCTGCCTGTGGTGGCTAGATAGGTGCAGGCTGGCTACTGCACAGAGGGCTTCCCTGGGGCTGAAGACGATTGCCCCTTCTACAGCGGGTAAAAGACTTCTTTCTGTTACTCCAGGGGGCTTTGTGCCTCCTGAAAGTTTTAAATTCTCCATCAGCAAACTCTCCAAAAGCTTGTGTCCTTTCTTTGCCCTGCTCAGACTGCCCACCTTTTCAGTACCTGCCTGCCCCCAGTACCTGCCCACCACACCCCATATTCCTCTCACTGTTCTGCCAAGCCTGCTCTTAGAAAAGGACCCGATGTCACGGCAGCCTGGAGGGTTCCACCACAGATACTTCTAGTAACTTCCTAACGGTGCACTTGCAGGCACCAGGTGAATGGGTCCCTGAGCCTGCCATGCACCTCTGTACCTTCATAGGGCCGTAGACTTCCGAGCGGTCAAACATGAGCTTGAAGTAGCTCAGGCTGCTCAGGGCAGCCTGCCAGGGCATGTACTCCGTCTCTTTGATCAGGAAGAGGGTGTTGTTTAGTGCCAGGGTGACAGAGACAATTTGGGCACTGGGGACAAACAGAGGAATTCAAGTAAGCACCAGTCCAGCCGTAAGGTGGGCCCTCAGCACCCTCCTGGAGCCTAGGCCCTGGGGCATCAGCTGAGGCAGCTCCCATGTTCACCAGGGGTAGGGGTGGGGGTGGGGTGGTCTCACAAGCAAAGCCTGCCCAGGCCCTGCCCTCAACGAATGCCAATCACATTCCCTTGCTTATTCCTAGTCCCAGGTAAAGAAACTGAGGCTCAGAAAGGTAAAATGACTTGCCTAAGGCCACACAGCACATAAGAGAGAGAGCTGAGACTCACAGGGACAAAAAGCCCATGCTCTTTAGTCTGCCCACCTCTTCTCTGATTTGCTTGGCCCTCTGGGCCCTCCTTCCTCCTCCTTCTCAAGAAGTCTGCATACATTTGGTTCATAAATGTCCCTGTCTATCACCTATGTCAAAGAGCTTAGCACCTGCCAGGAATACAGTAGGTGCTCAATAAATAATTATTTACCTGGGCTGCGTCTCTCCCGTCCAGTACTCCCAGCCTTTTTAGCGCCCAGCGCGGCAGCCTGGCCCACAGTCAGCCCTTAAGAAGAGCTTGCTGCAGTGGGGCAGTCTGGTTTTGGAGAAGGACAGGCGTGTGTCTGGCTGTCATGCTCTGCTGTGTGACCCCAGGCAAGGCACTCAGACTTGCATCTCAGACTCCTTACCTGGGACATGTGCGCTGTAACACTGACTGTGTCCTGGGGCGCAGGGGCCGAGGGCAGGGTGCACGGCATTGGGTACACTGTGCCTGGCACACAGCGGGGATGACCTGAGGGACCACCGGCTCTCACTATGGAACCTTACTTGCCAAAGTCATCAGGCCTTCCTCGGCTGAGCCAGGCGGCCTGGGGAGGGAGGTGGCGCTCACCTGGCCAGGTCAAAGGCATCATGGATGACCTGAGCCCGATTGATGACAGGGATGACCTAGAAGGGGCAAAAGAGCATGTGGCCTCAGGGTCTGCCCTCGGGCTGGCAGCAGTCCTGGGGCTGGGTCTGCAGCAGGGGACAGGGCGGGGGTGGCAGACACCCACCGACAGGTTTGTCTGCAGCTGAGTCTGAATCTTCCTCCAGTTGTTTTCATCATAGTTCACCTGGAAGTAGCCCGTCACGTTGAGGTTCAGCAGAACCCACTCGTCGGCTGTGGTCTTGAACAGCTCACTCTGGTCTGGGGGGAGAGACCAGAGCCGAACGGGCGGCTCAGAACGCTGCGGGCTAGCCCTTGGCTCTTCTCTCTCTGGGCCAGCCTGGCACCAGCTGGCACCAGAGCCTCTCCTCAAGAGGGGAGGAGGGGGGACGTGGGGCTGGGTGGCCAGGCTAGACTCCGCCTCTGGCCAATGGGTGACCTCCGACAAATCGGGTACCATCTCTGAACCTCAGTGCCCACCCTGCCTCCCACAGGCTCTGTGTGGCTGTGCCAGCTGCCTGGACACAACCCCATACCCCAGACCAGGCTGCCGCTCCTCCGCCCCTGCCCCCCACAAGCTTGGAACAGCCCCACCACATTTCAGTCCTGGGGAGAGGGGGAAGCCCATGCAGTGCTCCCGTGCAACCCCCGCCCCCTCCCAAGCTGCTCATCTCTCCTTGGGGCTCAGTGGCACCTCCTCAATGCTTTCCCTTCCATCCCTTCTCCTGGCAGCCAGAGGAGGTCCTTCCGTACCTGCAGCTCAGACTCAGTCACCTGCCCACCTGCCCCCTGGCCTACAGGACCCTCAGGAACCAGCTTCACCTCGACAGCACACCTCTGTCCACCAGCCACGCTCAGCCCCCATTTCTCTCCTACCTCTATGACTTGCACTTGCTATTTCCTTTGCCTGGAATACTTTCTCTGCTGCCATTAACCTGGCAAACTCCTACTCTTCCTCTAGACTCAGCTCACCTCCTCCAGGAAGCCTTCCCTGACCTCTCCATGAAGTTAAAGCTCCCTTATTCCTGGCTCCCTACCCCATACGCCAGTAGCCCGGAGGCCATACACGCCTCTATGAAAACCCTCAGAACTGCTCTGGAATGTTAGAACTGCTTGTCTTCCTTCCCTTCACCCGTAGTTTTGGCCTAGACAGATTTCATATGCCTTGACTCTGGTTTCCTTGGGGCTTGACAGAGTGGGGCTGCTCATACTATGTGCCAGGCATTGTTTTCAACTTTTCAAGTGGAGGCTCTTTAATTCTCACAGAGCTTCATAGGACAGATACTGTTCTTAGCCACATTTTATAGATGAGGAAATGTAGACCAGAGAGGGATGGTGGGTCACACAGCTGGGCAGTAGCACAGAACTTAGAACCAATGAAGTCGGCTCCATCTGTTGAATGACATTATAAAGGAAGCCCTCCCTGAGACCTGCCATGGCCCTGGAGCTGGGAATAGGGGGTGGGGGTGGCTATGCCCTGGGAGGGCTGGATTACCGCGGGCTTCGCCCTGCAGCCAGTGGCCGCTCTGCTGTGCGCCGTTCCTGAGCGAGGAGATGGGAACAATCCACAGGTAGCTGCAGGAAGACACCAGAGGCAGGCGATGAGGGACGGCCACGCATGGCCGCTGCCAACAGAGAGCAGCTCTGCCCTCCCAGCTTCGGCCCGACTCTGGCACCAGCACCCCGTCCTCTTGACCCGAGAGGATCCTCAGTCCATCCACCAGGGCTGGGACCACAGCAACCAGGCCCAGCCGTGGTTGGGGGGCGCTAGGAAGCCTGCCTCAGGGACCCCGAGTGCTCACTTGAACTCTGATGGGCGGGTGACAGTGGACTCGGAGTCAAGGAGGAAGTGCTGCTGGGAAATGTCCCCTGTCTTGGTGTCCACGGTGATGACAGGGAAGCCCATCTGCAGGATCCAGCGGTCCATGATTTTGCGCACAGGGAAAGGTAGCTGGATGGCCGACTGATTGTCCACAGCCTGGGGCAGAGCAGGATGGGGCAGCTGTCAGCGGGGCCCCGCCTCTCACCCCACCCGGGCAGTGCAGCCCCTGCAGCCCTGGCCTCTCCCCAGGGATGCCATCTTGCAGGAAGGCAGTGGAGAGGCCCTGGGCTGGGAGGCGGGAGCTGGGGGCCTGGCCCGTTCTGCCTCCCTTCTGCTGCCCAGTCAGGTGGGCTGAGAATTTCCCAGCCTCTGGTTTGTTCCACACTGATGAAGCAAATCTATGGGCCCCGCCCCCATTCGGTGGCTCAACCTGAGATGGGTGTGTGTCCCAGGATGACCACATTTCAGCCTGAACAACCTTGGGAGGATGAGAGGGGGAGGGGACAGAGATGGGGAAAGCCCACATCTGCTGGGCAGAGGGTCGTGGGCGGGGTTAAGGCAGCACCCATGGGTGGTCTGCGGACTGGCTTGGGGTCGCCGTCACTGTCCTCTCAGTGCTTTTTTACCTTTTTCTGTGCATGTGCACTGCTTTTGTAATAACAACAAAGTGACATCTGTTAAGTGAGAAATTACAGCTAAGAGGGGTCGGGGGCTAGGGGGCTGCAGAGAGAGGGAATCAAGGAAGGCAGGGAGGACAGTGGGATGCTGGGGTGGACCAAGGCGGTGAGGTGCCCCCTTTGGCTGGCTGTGTCGGGGGATGCAGAGCAGGCCCACTGCAGATGGAGACCAGCCAGGAGGGCGCGGGAGCCCCACTGTGACTGTATGACAGCACCCGGGGTCTCCCGCCCTGCTCAGACTGGCCACAGGACAGTGGGGGAGCAGCTGCAGGGGGAGCCTGAGGCTCGGGGTTCTGGAAGGGTCAGTTGGGCTGAGGCGGGCTACCAAGGAGGGGTGGAGGCAGCCGTAAGAGAGCAAATGGTGAGCGGTGGCGGTGCACAGATCCAGCCCCGAGAGGCGGAGTGGGGGGTCAGAGGGTTGCCCGAAGCAGGGCCTGTCTGACTGGGCAGGAACACAAGGCAGGGCCGGATGGGAGGGTCAGGCTTTGTGCCGAAGGTGCTGGTGTGTGCAAAGTCAGCCCGCGGTGGGGGTGGGGGTGGGGGTTCAGGGCACAGGGCACCCGGGAGTGCTGAGTAAGTTGAGTGACTGGCTCCAAAGTCCCAGACAGAGGAGGGCCTGGGCTTGGGAACTGTGAGGCCCATTTCCTCCCCACTGAGCTGAGGGCACCCTTTAGCTCCCCTCACAGCCCACTGCAGCGTGAGGCAGACCGCAGGCCTGGTCCTGACCCACTGTCCCACGCCACTCCCTCCCAGGAGTCACTGCTGTGCCCATTTTACAGATGGGCAACCAAGGCTCCGAATGGCCAGCCTGGGCTGGAAGCAGCAGAGCTAGGCACACTCTCTTACATGTGTGGTGCCAAGAGCTTCCAGCCTCTCAGGACCCCAGCCAGATGGCCTTGCGGGACAGGCTGTCACCAACCTCCTGCAGATGGTCCCAAAGGTCCAGGTAGACAGTGTTCTTGTAGGCGAACTTGTGGAGGTAGGACTGTGGGAAGAGGTCACGGTGAGGACAAAGCTGGTGTTCCCCGCTCTGCGCTCCAACTCCGTGGTAGGCTGGGCACAGGGACAAGGGGGTGGCGGCTGCAGGCACCCCCGCCCTGGCTGGCCAAGGGCACTCACCGCCACGCCCTTCTTGAATAGGTCCTCGGTCAGGAAACTGGACAGCATTCTGAGGACAGAGGCCCCCTGCAGGAGGCGGGGCTCAGGGGCTGCACTGAGCTTGTGGGACCCTGGGCCCCCTCCCAGCCGGGACGCGTGTTCCCAGGGCCCAGCAGCAGGGGGCGCCCACCTCCCGCCCCGTGTTCCCCACCATCTCAGGGCCCACACAGAGGCTGGGGCAGCACCTTGCTGTAGGAGATGGCGTCGAACACCTCGCTGATCTGGGCGGGCGTGTTGACTTCCGAGGCGGGGGAGGACAGCGGGTGGGAGGAGGCCAGAGCGTCCACGGCCATCACTCGGTACACGTCATTTAGCACCATCAGATCTTTCTGCAGATCCCCGATGGCCATCAGGAGATGGGCCTGGGAGGGGGTGATCTGCTCCTCCCTGTCCCCCACCCCAGACTCTAGGGGCCCCGGGGCAGCTGGCTCACCAGATTCCAGCTGGGTTCTGCGTAGTCAGCACCCAGGTACTCCACGTAGGAGGCAAAGCCCTCGTTCAGCCACAGGTCGTTCCACCACTCCAAGGTCACCAGGTTCCCAAACCACTGTTGGGGAGGGGAGTCAGCCCTGCAAGCCACCAGCAGTACCCACAGCCACCCTTTCCCAGCGCCCCCCATGCACCATCCCAGGCTCCGGACTTTACTGACATCCTTGGGAGCCTCCCTGCTCCCTGGCCACGTGGGACCCTCTTCCCTTCTCAGCTGCCAAAGGCAGAGCCGGACTTGTGCCATCTCCTTCCAGAGGCCCCTGTTTCTTTCCCTGCATTCCCCAGGATGTGAGGGCTACCTGGTGGGCTAGCTCATGAGCAATCACAGTGACCACCCGCTCCTTGTTGCCACTGGAGGAGGATAGCGGGTCAAACAGCAGTGCACTCTCCCGGTAGGTCACCAGTCCCCAGTTCTCCATGGCGCCAGCATTGAAGTCAGGCAAGGCAATCTGGTCTGGGGAGACAAGGCCACTGAGAGGATGGCCTCTGGGCAGGGAGCCCCGTCTGATGCCCCACACCATGAGGTCCCTCACTCACCAGATTTGTTGAGTGGGTAAGGTGTATCATAATGTCTGGCAAAGAAGCTTAGAATGGGGCCCGTCACGTTCAGGGCATAATCACCATGGCTCTCATTGATTGCACCAGGCCGAGCCCAGATCCGGATCTGCAGAGAGGATGGAGGGAGAGGATGGTCAGGGGTCCCTCTTGGGTCCTGGTGCCCGCCAGGGCCCAGCAGGCTGGCAGGGGGAACCAACTAGGTTAAACAGGGGAGGGGCTCTGAGTCCCAGGGAGGAGCCTTTGGAATAAAAATAGTCATGGCCACCCTCGGTCTAGCACCCATGGGTCAGGAACTCCGTTCACGTAGAGGGACCTATTTTGCATATGCAGAGACTGAGGGTCAGAAAACTTGAGACACTCCTCTAAGATTCCTCAGAGCTGGGATTCAAACGCTGCCTAGCAACTCAGGGGCAGAGACAGGGCTGAGGATGAACGGGAACATCCCCCAGACAAGGGCACTCAGGGGAAGAACAGGTGGGCCCAGCCTCATACCTGGATGTTATTGGGCGCTATCCTCTCCACATACGTGAACTCACTAACAATGTAGGCCAGCAGGTACGTGGACATTTTAGGCGTGGTGTGGAACTCAGTGACACTCCAGGTGGCCTCTTCCTTAAGTGGGACGCTGGGACCTGAAAATGGAGCCTCAGACATGTGGGGACACACCCTCCCCTGGGCCCTGCACCCCAGCTCCTGGTTCCGTTCCCACAGCGCAGACCCACTCACCTTTGGGCAGCATGTTGGACAGAGCCGTGAGGTTGCTCCAGTGGATGAGGGTGATGTTGAATGTGGCCTTCATGGCTGGCTCGTCAAAGCACGGGAAGGACTTGCGGGCGTCTGGAGCCTGCATCTGTGTCGTGGCCAGCACCCTGCCCAAAGTGGGGTATTAGAGGCTGTGCAAGCAGAATGCCTGCCCCCTGCAGTGATGCGCAGGGTGGGGTCATTGGGGCATTGCTGGTCATGCATGGGGAGGGGTCCTCAGAAGGCTGGTTCACCCTCATCTCGCCCCAGTCCCCTACCCCAGGCAGCCTCCAGGCCCAACAGGCCAGCTGACTATGGGAGATCATAGCTCCTTCCTGACTCAGGGTGAAAGTCCTGACAGGCTCCATTCTTATATTAGCTGGGAGACTGCAGGCAGGCTGCTCTTGTGAGCCCCAGTTTTCCTATCTGTATAAGGGGTACTTCCATCATTCACCCCTGACTCCCTCATGTGGGGTCAAAGCCCTTGGGAAAAGGTTTATCTTGGCAGCTGCTGAAGCCACAGGTCTGCCAAGGGCTCCAGAAGGTTCCAAGGCCTTCAATCTAAGCCCTTCCTGGCCCCCAGGATCCAGCCATGCCTGAGCATCTAGGGTCTGCCCCTTCCAGGCAGTCGGCTCCACTCACTTTTTGACATTGCCCTCCATGTACTCGCTGCGGTAGAAGCCGGCCAGGTCGTCAGCCAGCTCCCCCTCAAACTCACTGAACAGCTCGTACACGCCGCCAGCCACCAGCTGGCCCCGGAGGTGCACCACCAGGTACTCAGTGATCTCCACCAGCTCGGTCCTGTCGATGTCAGGGGCCACCTGGGAGCTCCCCACGGCCTTCAGGACCACCCTGTGCCCCCCGACGGTGGTGTAGTTGAGCTTCTTGCTGTGGATGATGATGACATCGGTGGCTTCCACACAGGTGAAGCGCACAGTGCTGTTACCCTTGAAGATGTAGAGGCCCTTGTCGTTGGGGGTGAGGTAGGGCCTCAGCACCACATTGTAGGAGTCGGGAATCAGTGTCTTGGGGAGGCGGTAGTGATTCCAGGGCTTGCTTTGGTCCAAGGTGATGGCCGCCGTGGTGGTGGAACCCGTGGGGGCCGCCATGGTGGTGGAGCCCGTGGGGGCCGCCGTGGTGCTCTTGTCATTCTTGTTCTTCTCCTGGGAGTACACCACAGACAGAGCGATGATGACGCTCACAGCCGCCAAGCCCAGGAGGATGGCCAGGACGCCCACGGCCTTGGAAATGTAGAAGCCCTTGGCCATGGTGAGGGTGGGGAGGGCAGGGAGCTTGGGGAGGCTCAGGGCAGGCGAGGAACAGGGCAGCCTCGCGCCAGGCTTATATCCCTGATGGGGAGGAGCCCCAGAGCCCACAGACTGGGCAAAAATTAACCAGGGCTCAGATGGTGAAGGTCACTGGACTGGGCAGGGACAACCTCCTCGCAGGCTCCGGAGAGGGGATCCAGGAATGTGTGCTCAGCGCGCCTGCCGGGAGCAAACCGCGTCTGGTTACAGGCTGCAGGCTACCAGGGAGCCCACTGCCTGAGGGCTGAAGGGCAGGCTGCAGGCTGCAGGCCGCGGGCAGAGGCGGCATTGATCCACCTGCCTGCGCGCCGACACAGCGGGGGCAGAAGCAGGAGGACCGAGGTTAGAGTCAGGGGAGGACTGGGGCTCCTCAGCACCAGGTCCCAGCCTCCTCTGCGTTCTTCCAGGCCCCCCTCCCTTTCCCTTCTTGCCAAAAGTGTTTTCCTTAATTATCAACTCCCTGAATAGAATGAAGTAACTCCTGCCTTTCTGGGGTTTTTTTGAGAGGAAGCTAATGGAGGCATAACCTCTTCCCAGCCACGACCCTGGCAGGTAGCTTCACCTTTCTGAGGCTTCTGTTCTCATAAATAGATAACAGTATGTACCTCTCAGGTTTGTTGACCAGATTTAGTGAGAAAACATTAAACACCACAGAGAAGAACCTAAAGATCGTTTCTTCTTTCTTAGCATTTGCCACTGGCGAGATTCCTTGGCAGGAGCGAATCATTATACTCAATACCATGTGGTCTTATAGGAAAACAATGTTCATTCTCACCCTTCCCATCCACCAACCTAGTTGCTCAGACCTTAACCCTCACCTCCAAATCCAACTACCCCTGCCCCTACCCCTGATCTCACCGTGTCCTTGGTGAAAGCCACTCTACTTGTTCACGTGGACACCTCTCTACCCTCAAAGACTTCCCACTTCCACTCAGGCCCTCTCAAACCTGTTTGCCATACAAATTGGGTCATTTTCTATTGCTGCTTAAAACCTTCCTTTTGCTCACAGAATCCAGACCAGATCTTCTAAGAGGTCCCACAAGTTGGGATGCTATCAGCCTGCCCACCTCCAGCTTCTTTCTCATCACATTCCCCTCTTTCGCAGTTCTCCAGATCCTCCACCCCAGGACCTTTGCACATGCTGTTCCCACTTCCTAGATCTCTCCCTTCTTGCCCTGGTTAATTCCTATTCATCCTTCATGTTTTCTTCAGAGACAATGCCCTGACCTCCCTATTCGGGTCAAGCCCCTATTAGTTCCATTAGTTCCAACCTCTTCTTCAAAGCCCTATAACTCAGTGTTTTCCATTTGATCTGTGTGGTGATGACTCAAGTCCTGTCTCCCCCACCAACTGCAGGACCCATGAGAGCAGGTGCTGGGCTGCTTCTGCTCACCAGCCCTTGCCATGGTACCTGACACATAGTAGGTGCTCAATACCTATCTGTCCAGTGGATGCACACATGTATGAATGGGCAAATGAATGAATGAATGAATGAGTCAGTTCACGAGTCACACCTTACTGAAGACTTTCTATCCCTTCTGCACTCCTTTCTCTGCCCTACGCTTGCTCTGGGATAATTGTCTGCCCCCTTCTCTGAGCCCTCTTCCAACCACGGCAGGCAGGCAGTACTCTTGTTAGGGCCAAATGCACCTCAGGGCTCACATCTGTCTGCTCCACAGCTTGTCATCTCCTTAAGGACATCATTCATCTGAAACTCCGTGCCCTGGCGTGGGCCTGCCATCTCCTGAGCCCACATGAGGGCGTGGTGAGTGAACATGTTCAGGAATTGATTAGACACGCAGGCTAATTCGTTCAGGCATAACTGCAGGAGGAAATGACTGTCATCTGTCATCTGGCAGCAGAGAGCAGGACCTGAGTGCCAGGTCTTCAGGAGAATCCTGGGTGCCAGTCTCTCAGACTGAGGTGTTCTGAGCCCTTGGCATTTCCCTCCTCTCTAGAGACCTGCTCACAGGGCCTGGGTCTGGGTGGTGTGGCCTCCACTGCAGTGACCAGCAGCTACCCCATGTCGGGCCTGGGCTGATGGCCAAGGGGCCCCAGCCCCAGCGCGAAGCAATGTGCCCAGGAGGAGCCCCAGCTGGGCATGGTCACAGAGGGAACAGTGGCAGCAAGAGTAACACAGCACAGGCTCCCAGGCTCCCTCTCTTAGGACCAGAGCTTGGCAAGGGAAGCCATCTTTACAATTCGCCTGTGGGCTGGCACTCGGGGCCTTGTACCCCCCTGAACCAAGCTTCACTCTGTTCCTGACTGGGCTTGAAGCCCCCTCCCACCACTGCAGCAGAAAGATCCAGCCTGCTTGGCCTAATCCCTTCTCCAAACAAAGAACGGGGCCATGCCTGACCACTGCGATCTCTTCCTGTTTGTTTTGGACATGGACCACAGGCCCAGCTGGCTGGAATCTTTACTCTTTTGGAAAGAGCCTCCAGTCTTCAAAGCTGGCACAGCAGGCAACCCACTGCCCTGTAATGAGCGGTCCCTGCCCTGGGCACCATGCCAGCCAGGCGGGGGCCCCTTCTGTGATACTAAAAGGGCCCCTCCTCCAGTGCCCTGCAGTGGCCCAGGCCTGGACAGCTTCACACCCACTGGGTAGTGGTGGCAATACTGCCCTCCCTGGCCACCCAACCCCACCACACACCTCAGCTCAGGAATCTTCCTCTCCTGCTCGATCCTGGTCTCTGGCTCCTCACTGCCCACAGAATGAAACCTCAACTCTAGCTTGAGCCTGAAGACCTGTGAACTTGACCCTCTGGCCTCCCTCTGTCCAATGCCCACTGTGGTTCTAGTTCCAAGCATTTCCCCAAACATTCTGGTTTTTTTCACGCCCCTGTGCCTTTACTCATCCTGTTTCCTCGCCCTCATGTCCAACTCCTACTCATCCTTTGAAACCCAGCTCAAATGTCACTGCAATCCCATGCACGGCAGCTCCTTTCACCTCCATGCTCCCCTGGCCTCTGGCCCACATCTTCACCACAGTACTTATGGAAAGGCTATGTGTTCAAAAACCTGCCACTAGACAGGCATCCTGAGGGAAATCTCCAACTTCAAGCACCCCTCCATTATAAGCACAGGGCAGGAGACCAGTAACTGCCTAAATAAATGATAGCATCTACTACCCTCGCCATGGCACACAGGTCTGGCATGATCCAGCCCTCAGGACTCTCTGGTCCCGTCTTCTCAAGCCCTCTCCCCGTCGGCTCTGTCCTCTTCCTCACCGGCCTCTTCCGTTTCCTCAAGCCCAGCACGCTCTCCCTCCTCCAGCTGCCATTTGGGTCTAAGAAGCCTCTGTCTTTCTGTCACCGCATCCCCCACCCCCCAGTAGTCCTGGAGGCCCACGTCAGTGGCGCTGTCCCAGGGCAGCCCTCTTGGCATCCCCAAGACCCTGAGCATCATGGGGATAGTATTCTGCACACAGGTGAGCCCCCAGTACATTGCAGGGGGGTAACACATGCATGTGGAGCGGATGCATCAGCACAAAAATGAGAGGCAGTGGTGACAGATGGAATTCAGTATCCTGCAGACACTGGACCCTCGGGACCTGGTTCGCCTCCATACCTCACACTCCCTCCTGGTCTCATGGAGGGTGCATACAAACCACCTTTGTGAATTCTGCCCTATCTGTGACCTTCCTGTACATTATTTACTTATTTTTATTTAAGTCAATTTACCTCTTACCCTCCTTCTGAGCAATAATGACCATGAAATCACAATCAGAAGTGTTAAATTGTATTTTTTCCAACACACATTTCAATTCATGATTGTTGACTTAAAAGCTACTCATCTGGCTTTCCATCTAAAACATTTTGTGTAACGGCACCACTTTGGGGGTTGTTACCTCACCATGTCTGACTCTGGGGACAGCAGCACCTGTGGGCTGTCTTCGGCGTGGAGCCTTCCTGCACGCGAGCAAAGAGTGTGTGTTCCTGCTCCTGTCAACCTCCCAGAGGAGGAAAAGCCCAGGACAGCCAGCCCCATCTCAACCAAAGCAGTCTTTCGGTGCATCTCTATATTTCTATTCCATCTATGCTTTGATCCAGAGAACAAAAGTTCTTCTAAATTAAAAAAGAAGAAGGTTGACAATAATCGTGCTAAGAATATTTACAGCATAGCCTGTGGAAGACATCCACTGAATGGGAAAAGGAAGCTTTGTGTGAAATGTGGGGGTACAAACTGCCTCCTAGTCAAACATGAAAATGCCAGGAGCCTGGGAGGGGCGGCGGCAGGGAGGGCAGCACACAGGCAGCCTGGTGAACTAGGAGCCCACAGACCCCCAGGGCCTTGGGTTAGCTGCTTGCCGCTAATGCTTGCTTGGTTCCCCCGACAGTGGCAGGCCGGGAGCTAAGGGACAACCAGAGGCCGTCTGTCCACCCCGAAGGGGCAGTGAGTGAGTGGGGGTTGCTGAGGTCACAGCCAGGGCCCCAGCGCAGGGCACACGCTGGCCCCCTCAGGCCCCTGGCCTTCTCCCAGGCTTTGAAGCCTGCACCCACAGCTGTATGAGGCTGGGCCCGGGCCAGCCCCCAGGGTGCTTCCTCTGGGAGCCCTGGACATTGTCCATTTTGTGAGAACCTCAGAAGGCCCCAGTGGGAGGTCAGCTCCTGGCTTGGCCTCTCTCGCCCAATGCCGGGCACTCTAGGGAAGAAACAGAAGGGCCCTCGTGGGGTGGGTGGAAGTACAGCAGCAACGGAGGGGCCATTCTGGGCTATGGACCCTGCTTGGCAACTCCTGCCTGTGTAACTGGGGGCCTACTATGGGCTGCACCTGCATGATCACACCACCATGTGGCTGCTGAGGGTCAAGTGACTTGCCCCAGGGTCCCACAGCTAGCCCATGGCCGGTTCTACAGGCTTAACTATACATGGCCCCTGAAGTATCGTTCCAGCAGTCCCCCCAACATCTTCTACTGTGCAGTGCCCGGAGGGGTCAGAGGCCACATGAGGAGACAAACACCTTTCAGCACAACAACACACGATAGCAAGTTACAGGAGGCGGAGCTGTGTGGGAAGAAAGGCCTGACCATCTCTTAGGGCACTTGGTGTCCCTTCCTCTCGATTTTACAGGCACACTAAGGGGCACGGAGCGTGAGTGGCCGCTGCAAGGAGTGGCTCAGAGACTGGG